TAAAGGTACCTCGGTAAAGTTCGAACTCTGCCCTTTCACGCGATACCACTCATGCGGTTGGTCAAAATATCAAACAGCTTCAAAAAGTGCGGAAAAGACATGCGTGTGCTCGACCGGCTGGCGCGCGGCCGGGGACGCGCATGGTGTGCGGCCTGAGCGCTCCGTTTCTACCCCCTGCCTTTGGGCTATTAATCTTGCCCATTTTATTGCATGTACCGGGATCCTGGGTTTGTGCAAGCAAAAATAGTTACTTCTAGTCACCTACAATGTACACTTCTCATGTGCGAACTGGCTGTGATTTAGATCGTAAATCGTGTTTCTATTAGGTACGTTTTAACTTTATCTGTGCTTCCTAAATGCTTGAGTCGGATGACAATTTTACGCTTAATTAGGCAACCCTAAGACAATTGCCTTTCCATTCTAGTCAGAAAAGTGAAATTTGTCATATTACGCACGTATTTGTCGAAGTGCACTTCTCTCTAAGTTTAGAAATCAGACTTGTCTTCTTTCAGTGCTCACTTCAGAAATATTTACGAAACGATCTACTATTTTTTATCATAGATATTTATAGTATGTTCATAGATTCTTTTAGCATGACTCAAAGAGAAATGTTGGTTGTGAGTGATATGAAAACATAAGGTTTCTCGTATCAAAAATGTACCTGCTATTCCATTATTTTATAGCAAATCCAGTTGACTGTTTGCTAATTAATAATAGTTGTTAATGCGTAGTATAGAGATGCTACGAAACAGATGCTGGTCATTATTTGTTGTTGCAATAAATTTTACTTGTTTTATAAATGCCTTATCTCTGAAAATTATCCCGATGAACGTCTTTAGCCCTTGGTAGTGGTGGTGGTGGTTGGTGGTGGTGGTTTTAGTGGCTACTCTGTAAATCTTGCTCTATAAATCTGTCTACTTTGCACTATCATGGGTGGAATACGTTCATCAAATTGATTTCAAAATGGTCTCATGTTCATTTTTAATCTTTACAAAATATTGCTGCTAGGAGTGTGTCGTAGCCTTGAGGATTGTTAACGCCGTGGTCGCCTGGCTTGCCAAAATGTTCGCAGTCCTTTTTGATTGCCAAATTTTGGCCGTCTTTTGGAGGCTGCCAATTTTTGTCCTCTTTGCTTCCCAAAAGTTGGCTGTCTTTCAAAAGGAGGCAAAAAATTGGCAGCCGCGTAAGTGTTCAAATTTCCAGTCAAACACTTTGCAATTACTAAAAATGACACAAACACCCGCAACTAATCTGCGCGGTGTTTAACACCTTCAAAGTGCTTGCCAGTTGAACACGTCATCGATCAGTGTGAGCACTGTAAAAACAATTAGTAAATTCAACACTCCAATCATACCTTTGTGGCATGTTTTGCAAATTGGAACTGATGAAATATTGCGTACAGTTTCAACCATATTTTTATGAGTGAGTCGTGCGCCAGGCTGTGTGTAGTCTCTCATGAGCAGCTGGAGGCGAGTAGACTGGCGGAGACTGGGCCATGGCCTGGGCTGACCTCTGCTAGTCCGTTCAGTAGGCGGAGCTGGCGGAGCTTCCAGAAGGCCTTATTGAGAGCAATGAAGAGGGGGTAGAGGAAGGTGAGGGGGTGGTCCGCAGTATCAGGCCAACGCCGCTGAGCGCCCGACAGGCTTTGTGCCCCTGGCGCCGCCTGGCTACGCCTGGCGCACCCCCGGGTGTGCGCATGCGCGGCGACCGTGGCGGCCTCTGCCGCCCTGCGTACAGCGGCGAGCTCCTGTGGGGGACCCTGTGGGGGACCCTGTGGGGGACCCCCTCTGCCCCTGGCGCGGCTCACGGCCTGGGTTGGCCCACCCTGATCAATGGATCAATACCGTTAGCGCCTCGGACGGGTAAACACCTCCCGAATCCTTCCGAGTCGAGCCGAAGCGACCCGAGGTGAGCCGAAGGAAGCCCGAGTGAAGAGTGGAGCCTCGCCGAGCAAGCCCGAGCGAGGGTCGGCTCTGTGCAGGGCCTCGGTGGGGCCTGCGGCGCATGAAGGGCCTCCACTGCGGGGCGCGACGCGCTAGCGACGCCACGGCCCTGGGGGCCACCTTGTCACCACCTTGGCCTCGGCCTCATCGGGGACCTCATCAGAGACCTCTTTGATGGCCTCAACCACCATGGAGGCTCGCCGACGTGCTGCGCGCCCTCGGCTGGCCAGCGAGGGTGAGTCTTAATCCTTTTCCTTTATTCTTGCCTAATTAGAGACTATGGAGCCTTCAAAGACGCCTAATATCGAACTTTGCTTGGTGTCTTTGTGGCTGCCAAGGGTCATTGGCCTGTAGGTACGGGCATTGAGGTGTCTTGAAGGCGTCTTTGGGATCGTGGTTAGACTCTTGGAGCACAACTTCTCTTATACGAGGAAATGCTTTGTAATATCGACGAATGACTGGGACTTTTAGAGAGGGGAAGGGGGACACGGGGGGCTGGTAGTGGTGGTGGTGGTTGGGGGCTTGCAGGTTCTACAGGGGTTCCTAAAATTCCGTTAGTACTTTTTTGTGAAAATGATAAAATTTAGGGCTGTCGTTTCGATGTGGTACTATAATGGACTACTGCAAATAAGTCGAAGTAATAAAAGAGTCCTTTCGAAATGTGGGTGCAAAGTGCGCTTGTGGTTGAAAACCTATGACTAGAAATACCATTTTCCGTTCGGATTTAAAAGTAAATTTAAAGTTTGATTGCGCAGACCCACAAAGACGCGGATTCTTTACTTTGGGGGACGTCCGTTGGACGTTATTTTCAACTTTGTACAACCCTGCTACAATTCATGTAACGAATGCAACGCTAATGTCAGTGTGAAGAGGGTGTTTCAAACATTTTCAGTACTGTAAATGATGAGGGAGGATAAAATTCTTGAAGGGGGAAAAATGAGAGCGGGGATAGAGAGGGGTAGGGGGCAACAGCGATCGAGCGAGAGCGCTCGTGGTGGGGGAAGTTCTGCGGCTCAGCCCTGCGGAGCACCCCGGGGGGCTCGGTTGGGGAGGAGCTCTCGGGTCGTTGCGGTGGGGTGTGGGGGTGGGTGGGAAAAGGGGAGGGGGATCTCTAGCGCAGTGGAGGCTACGGAGGGGTCACAATTGGGCTCCAGAGGCCAGTCCGACAAAGAACTGGCGGGACGTGACACCGAAGCTACACTTGATGAATGGAGAGGGAACAAATGTGTTTTGGAGATAATTCAAAAAAGATCAAAGACTGTCTTAAATTAAACAGCACGTGTCATACGTTACTCATTTCATTCCCATGTTTAATTTTTACAAACCTTATTAAGATCATGCTTTTACACGGCATACACAGTAACTAGGTGCATTTTTTAAATTCAAGTTTATTTTCAGTCATCGTATTTCAGTCATCACATTTTTAGCACACATTTCTGCGCTGATTTCAACACTTTTGTGCATTCATCTGCGAAATCATGCATTTTCGCCCTCAAATTTGTCCTAAACGAAGCGTAATTTTTTTAAAAAAGTGTGCATCTTGCACCTTAACATACAAGTAAATTTAACGTGTATAGTCTAATTGACTTTCACAATTTCTAGAATTATCGGTCATTATATCCTAATATCTTAATTATATATACTTCAACACTAGTCTTAAACGTTGCACTAAACTTTAAAGGAAAAACAACTTAAGTTAACCCAACCAAATATTAATTGTCAGAACTCACGTGTTAGGTCCATAGCCAGGGACCCGTAACTGAACAAAGTTTTCGCTACTTCGTTGCACACTTAGTTCATCAGTGTACTTATCAGTGCATACCAGTAAGAAGCTTTTTGTCTTTTTTTCTCCAGGTGGCCGGAGGACCGCGTTGCCTCTCTAGCGCGCCCTGACAACCGCCCTGGCAGACACACAACCATCACCATCATAAAACAACTCAACTAAACCAAGCAATAGCAGTAACCCACGCTTCTTGCCATATCGTGAGTTGTTGTTCTAATTGATAGTTACCCTCCTTCGTGGACCAGGTACGGTCCGCGCCATCAGAAGCAATTCAAGTGGATGTCACCAAACTTCGGTCATTTTGTCTTACTTGATGTCTCTCGGGATACTATTCGCATGCCACCGTCAGAAATGTGAAAATAGACGAGTTACTCCGAGCGTCGTAGATTGTGTGCGTGCCCCGTGTATGACACTTGTCACCTGATTTACGTACAAAGTTTAAGTTTGCGATGTCACAGCTGATTTATACAATTTAGGCTGTGCCTTCTTATTTTCCTTGTTTTCATTGCGAAATTCTCGATAGTGTCTGATAATCGCAGCCTTCCGATCTTCACTCATCACTGAGGGAACAGAAATGTGATGTTTCAAGTACTATTAGTTCTTGCTACCTGTAAGTTTTGTTTAATCAAACATGACTCATAATTTTCTGACAATTCTTCATTCTTAGGGAAGGCGTTACCTAACTTCACTGGCAATTTATTTCATTCATCTGTACGACTATGTTGTTTTCGTCAATGATCTTAATAACACAATATTATACTAATTTCCTGTTAAACTATTATTATCTCATCAGTATGCATCGTGGAGCCAGTTGATAATTGCTGCCCAAAGTGCTGTCGAAAAATTTCTTGTAATACTTTTCACATCACTTTGGGCTAAAACAAATAAACCCGTTAATGTTAAGCACCTATTCATTACATTCCTGCGGAAATTCTAAATGTGTCTACAAACAAAATGTTCCTTTGGTATGTTTTAGTTAATTTGGCAATTATCATACATGTGCGACTTGGCTGCATAAAACTTAACTGTATGCATTATATTGAAAATAATTGATACGTGAGGCAGAAAAACAATGTGTTCAAAAATACAGGTACTAAATGTAGTAAGCTATCTCTGTAAAGTAAGTGAATGTTTTGACATATTCTAAACTATCTTTACCTTGTAAGTTGTACTACGGTTAGTTCGGTGCTGCTCTGACTTTCCATGGTTTGTTAGCGTAGTGTGTCTGATGACTTCATAAGTACAGTAGTCACTCAGAGATTTGCCGCCAATAGTGCAGTTTCGGCGCTATGGGGCAACTCTGGATGAAGTTCCCTCCACCGACCTCAGAGAGAGAGAGATAGAGAAAGAGAGAGCTGGTCGCGGAGTGAGGAGGGGAAAAGGTGGCGGCCTGGTGCTAACTGCGCGCGAACTAATAAGGTGACGGGGCTGAGTGGCGAAGATGGCAAGAAATGGTGGTGTGCGACAACCTTCGAAAGCGGCTACAGTTGTCTTAAATCAGCTTGGAGAAGTTTCTTGAACCGTAATCCAATTGAAAAAATTGGAAGCCCGGCACCATGGATATATGTTAGTATCTCGTAAGGATCGATTAGTCAGATTTCTGTTCATCTTGTGTACTCGTGTGTCCTAGACCTGTCCTTTTTTGTAGTGCATAATTACAAAGTACGTGTGCGTTCTGATAAAAACCAAATTTTGGCACACTACCGGTAGTTTGAGTGCATAATATTTATTTTGAAGTATTTTACTCGAAACGTTTTCAGGGTATGCGCCAATAGGCCGTAGCAAAATATAAGGAGATGGTTTTAATTTACAACAATTCGCTAAAATATATTTGTCTACCAGGCCCGTCGTCTTTCGACCGAAATTTCAGATGATAATATTGTGAACGCAATAGTTTTCTGCTATGGATGTGAAACACAATTTCAAAATGAACCAATCCAGTCCGAGCATATTGTTAACAAGGAAATAATGGTTTCATTCATTGTACGCCTAAAGACGCTACCTTACATAAAAAAAATACCAACTTTCTGTACTTGATAACTACGATACTTTGATTGTGATACCACAAAGTTCAAATTTGAAAGAATTGCTTTTAGCTAAATGTATTTGTCAGTCACGAACGGCGGAAGTTGCGTTGCCGCGGACATTAGTGCAGTTCACTGAAATTTCTTTTTGGTAGCGATATCAACTTTTTGGTCTGTGGTAATTTTAATCTTGTTTTTAGTTTGAAAAGGTACTTGAAATACGGTTAACGTTGCTACGTGTAAATCTTAGATCATTTCTCTATGCCGGACCAATGAAAAACTCTTCGTACATGAGTTGAGATTGTAACAGTCTTTAAAACGTAAAAAAAAAAAACAAGTCAAAGTAGGGAGCATGACACTTATTAGAAAAGGCTGTTTTTTTTACGCCAGTACACCGTTACGGTGTGGCCACAGCCTACAGCTCTAGTCACAGCTGTTTTCTTGTCACTATCGTGGCCAAAAACAACCACTTTTTTGTGCTCCATTTTGCTTAACGTTAAAAGACCAAGATTATTCTGTTACATACTACTACTCTAACGGCCTAGAAGTGCTTGCGAGGCAATCAATGAAAATTGACGGAACATGTAATGTTGGTAAATTGATAAATAGAGGTAGTTATTTTAACAAAATAATGACGTTTTGCACGTGACAGTTGCAAATGTTATCACATTTTGGCAAATTTAACATTTTGCTACGTGTTAGCGCAACGGAGTTCTTTGACGGTACTTTTATCTATTCTGCCTATGCGCCTAAGCCGCAGAGCAAAATAAGCGTTCCCAAATCGGGTGACATTGATTCGCACGTTTTAGAATATATTATTCGTGGCTCCAAAGTTTCTGTATCATAAAAGAAGTGTTTCCTTGATGTCAATCTTAAACATATTCGTCGTTTCAATGTTGTTACAATAGTTCCATTGTGCTGGTATTGCATTTAATAAGTCTTGAACCGTTTAGTACTATACAGTGAAATTATGTTACTTAATATCTATTTTAATACGACTCCTATCCTTTCAAAAAATTTTCTTATATTTCCTGCCTCTAACGACATTTTCCTGGCGATTGTGTCCTTCGATTCTTTCTTTCTTTCGAAAAGCGGAGTCTAAGTACAGGTTAGGATACAATGTCTTGTAATCGTGTTTAAAATTTTTGCATCGTCAGGCGTGGATCCAGGTGATCTTTTGGTGAGGGACAGAGGGCAACCACAATATTTGCCCTAAATAAACACATTCAGTGCGGTGCTGCTTACGCGTCATAGAAACCAGTACAGTGTGGCCATATCGTGGCCGTGCCGCACTGTGGGTGTCGAGGTACTGTGCAAATATGCACACTCAAGGTTTTAAGGTCCAAAATGAAAGCCCATATGCTTCTGCCTGAATTAATCGCGTTGGATCCGCGCCCGCTAGTTGTCTCTAATGTGAGACCTTCAAAATTGAAGGACAATGAAATATATCCCTGTTTGGGCTGCTTCCCATGATATCGTGCAGTAAATTTTGCAGGCATAGAGCTTTTAAGAATGTAACCCTGCATTGTGTGATACTTGCTGAGCTGTGATTGCAACGATATAATTGTATAAATATTTATTTCTGGTCTAAAAGAAGCATTCTTTCTATAAATTACAAGATTATTATTTTGCCTAAGGCTACATTGTGTTAAGATTCAATCTATGCTCATCAATTTGTTTAACTACCCTAATATTTATGTCTATGTTTTACTAAAGTCCACCAGTTTAATTTAGAGAATGTATGCCCCGTTGAGCGATTGACAAACTTCTCTTTTGTTCAGGATTGAACATTCAGACACCACTTTACATTACAAAATGCAGAAAATAACGCGTGTTCGAATGAATGAAAGCAAATGTTAGTATAGGTGTATCTAAAGCTCACTTTTAGTGTTTGTGTGCGAGTGGTGAGTGTACGTATGTGTGTCCGGGAGGGACTAGGGTCTAAGGACGTCGAACAGTTTTCTTCGTTTCAAATAACTACTGGGATTCATATCTCAATTGCCACACTAAAGTCGTTTTAAATCCCCAGTATCTAGTTTGTCCGTGGTGATCGAAAGCACGTACTACTTGTGATTTTGGTCGTAAGTTTAAGTAAATGGTCCCGACTTACTTTTTACTAGCGGGTCACTGTGCCGTCAGATAGTATCGTAGACTCGTCCTTTGGAGGTGTTACCCCTCCCCCCCCCCTCCGCCTAGGGCGGGACATTCTGGCCAGCCCTCGACGCTCAGCCATCATGGGCCGGCTGGCTAGGGTGCTGGAGATGTTGAAAAGAGATGTCGATGTAAATGGATGGTTCGCCTTGTACTACTGGTGGGAGATGCCGCCCGTCTCCGACGCCTTCAAAGTGCTCAGGCGTTTCGTCTGTGGCTTTCGGCTCTATCATTGAGTTTACTGGCTGTAGCCTGCGTGCTGGTGTCACGAGCCGCCCGGTCGATTTGGGGGCCACGTAGCCGGGACCCCTGGTATAAGTTATTGATCCTTGTGGAATTGTAAGAAAATATATCTTCATTATAAGCAATTAGACGCCTTTCTGTAAAATTTCGAATTTCATTCTGATAACAAATGACGTGTTAAAGAAAACATGCATTATGCGATATATGTTGTAGTATGTATCAGGGTAACCTGTTGATACTAAGTATATTCCGTAAGGTTTGCCTTAGTTGTAATGAGTTTCCAAGACTTCGATCTCGTTAGCTTATTGAAGGGCCATTGTATGGCGAGGAGTTAAAGGGACTGATCATAAAAACCTTGCGGATAGGACCTTAAAAGCAGGTCCTAGCGGTGCATTTATGGCAGAAAAGGTCCAATCTAGTGACACTTAAACTCTTTACACCAAAGGAGGACAGTCATCTAAGAGTCATTGATGCCGATATCATCATGTTTCGGGTGAAATTGCGACTGATAGGCACGTCGTGACAGTGTTCTCCATGGTTTGGGGTTGTCTTCCTTTTCTTCGTAATATTTTGGATAACTTGCACGAATTTTATCACTGGCAGCTGGTGAAAGGAAGTACCCGGCGTATAGAATATAATTTACTTAAAAAGTAGGTTATGTACTGTGCCTATGAGTAATTTTCGTCAAATAAAAAGTTTTCAGCGGTGATAGTTACCATAGTTACCCTAGAGGTTTAAATATATCAAGAATCGCATAGTTACCATAATAATAGTTGGGAAAAGTGTACTTCCTCCTATAGTTGGACACAGGCTGGGGTGCGTCTTCTATTAAATCGCATCAGCCTAATTTGACCATATTCTATGAAAAAGTCTTTTACGATAGGGTAGTGGTTCAATGTAAAGTTACGGAAAGTTTGACTATCTGCACTCCTTCAACTCATTATGTCACTATCGCTACCCCAAAATTCGTTCAGCAAGGCTAAGAATGAAAAGTAAATATCACACTAATATTTCAAAATATCTTATTGTGCTTAAAAGAATAAAACCGTTTTAATCCTACTCAAACAACCATACTTTCAAACTTCAAATTATTGCTAAGCACCTGGTAGATAAAACATGCAAAATTTGGCATATTAAAGTCTTAAACTGTTCTGATGGAACACTTTTCTATCCTGCTCAAATTATACAATTCTATTTACTATTTTTATTCTCTTTGTGCGCTCCATTACTACTATGATAGCAAACATTTAAAACTGTTCTAATGATCATTTGTCATCAATTCTTCGTTAAAATTTTAAATGTTGTCATCATCAAACTTTTTAAAGACGACTTTTTTTCGTAAACATTCATAACTGCAACAGCAGAGCGTCACTGATATTCTTCGCCGTGTCCCTTCATTTTACAATGTAATTTCGAATCAGGGGGCGACTCATGAAAACAGCAGTGACGCTAAAGTGGTGCTTTGGCCACCAATATATGAGAATTGTAAATTATGTAATTCGCGTAAGAAGGCCTTTTACTTCAAACATTGTGACACATTTCTCCTTAAAAATTTCCCAGAGCCGTGCTCAAACCGAAGCGTACCCTGGTGTCCTAAGATTAATGATACTCTCGTGGTGATACTTGACTAAAAAATCTTTGGTGCGTGCGTGCGTAGGTCAAATCTAAAATATGTTCTTAGAATCAGGTAGTACCCTGACATGTAAATTATTGCTCATTATTGGCAAGCCTTATTCTCATTGTTAAGTCTGTTGCGAAACGATTATGCCTAGGGCTTCCGAAAAAGCTCGCAACTTTCTCGACATTATTATAAAGCCTTTTTCATAGTTAAATGACATCATAAAATCCCTAAAAAATGTAAGTTTTCTGTGGTCACCAGCATTTACTGTTGTCAAAACAGCCACTTAAGGCCCGCACATAAGTTTCCCTCTTTAAAAAAATGATCCTATGACGTACTATTATTATGAACACTTTGTGTATATTAAATGTGTGATCGCTTTAGATACGTTTAAATCTTTGCACTTGTTGGTTTTAACGATTTCAACATTTTAAAAGGAACCTCTAAACTCTATGAAAGGATTTTTAGTCTCTCTTTTATGACTATTTTTGACTCTGTGTGTTTAGATTTTGTGGTGTTGTGAATTTTCGTAGCTGAGCTTTCGTATAATATTCCATGAAATTCGTGTTTTTCCGCTCTAGAAACAAATTTTCGAAGATTGTCGCCTAGCTTTACGCCATATTCACGTTTAGATTCGATGTTAAATGGTTATTAAATACTTCCTTTGAGATTTGTTGGGTTACAACTCGTCAAATGTTACCTTTTCAGTATTTTTTAGGTCCCTTGAGACAATTACTATATTCCCTTGGAGTAAGGAGGCGGCGAGAGTCGTCATTTTTGAGGGCTTTGCTCCCATTAGGATATTGACACCTTGCTGCAGTGTTACTTTTAGCATTGTGTTTTGTTTTGGATCAGTTTCATATTGCGTTTGGGGTGAACTCCGGGTAAATTGAATAACAGGATCGTTCCATATATTTGTAGCATGCTCTGCTTATTTTGTTCAATAACGTCATAGTTCTCACCTTGATCTCTTTTTCATTCTATTCGTCCATTTTCCACTTTTTTCCTAACATTTGTCCTACGCCTTAACTAGAGTACATTGGGTAATCTATTTTAATGCGTCTTTTACCATTTTCCTTCAATGTTGCATCTTTTTACTCTAACTTTCTATGTCCTAAAACTTAATACCAATTGCGTATTGCGCACTATTTTGTTGCATTTAGCGACTATGACCATTTGATATATTTTTCAAATTTAACATTCCTTTAGAAACATCTTTTACAAATTTTAGCGTTTTGGCGTGTCGCGTGTCGCATTTTTAACTAGTGTAGATGGCTTTTTGCTACAAGTCATAATCTGTTTTTATAATTACCTAGCAGCCTTTTTTGTCCATCCTCTTAATTTATTTCAATCTCGCTTGTGTTTCCTACCTTTTTCATCTTAAATTGTCCTCTTGGTTTTTACCCTTGTAAATCATGGCTGGTAATTTTACTGTGTGAAAATGTTTTGCCCAAGTACATATACTTTGTTCAAACTGTTTGTGACTATGGCTTCTCCTCCCAAAAACGTTTTTGTTTCTCATGACCTAAGTAAATGCGTCTAGCTGACAAAGTGTGTGCACTAAAACCCTGACCAATATGTGACTGTCAGTGACCAATCAGTAGCAGGAATGGACCAAACTCCTTCCTTCAAACGCCTTCCATTGGAGTTGATATGAGGTGAACAAATTGTTGGTAGCTTCCTCGCATTGCCACCTGTCGTAGAGCTGCATTAATGAATAAATGACAAGCAATCCATTAACGATTGTGGCCTGCTCTGATTATCAACTCGTTAAAATAAAGGACCAAAGTGATGGAATCTATCTTAAATGGGAGTTACGGGGGACTACGACCGCTTAAATGAAAAAATTATGAAGGTCAATTAAGTCATAAACTATAAATACTTGACCAACTCTTAAATAATGGATGTAATTTTAGAAAATACTGTGGGTACTCATTTTCATACATATGTTTATCAGTTTTATACAGACCCTTGATGAACTCCCATATCTCTATTCATTACATGATATTGCATTTTAAATTCTTTCTTCTGCACCTTTATTGCTCTTTCTGATTTTTCGATCTATTTGAGGTACTCGTTTTAATATTTCTGCTTACACTGATATATACTTTCTGTGTTTGTTGTGTCCCATCACTTTTCAGATTGTTTTGTGATTTAATATTTTACTTTTGTATGTGTGTGTGTGTGTGTGTGTGTCATTCCTCCTCTTTTACCCTTCTCTAGGTATTCGTGCTTTTGACGTATCGTGTAGTTGTTTAAATTTCTGAGTGTTTTTGAAGTTACGAATCGTTAGCCCTTAGCCATTCAATTGTTTTGGGGCAGAGTAGGACGGGTGACCGAGTTCTCGGAAACATACCAGTTCAATATCAGAGCCACCAACACCATTCCAAGTAATTAAATAGATGAATCCTACGGACAATAATATAGAGTAAGGAAGAAGTCAGTGTTTGCTGCTCAGCATTATAAACGACAATACATAAAATGTGAAATCAATTCAGGTAACCCTTCCTTACTCAAAACCAAAACAGAATATTGTTTTCAATTTGTCTAACCTTCGTTTAGGATACATAGAGAGACTACAAATCCTTATCCACCTTTCTGCCTTATCGGTAGCGTTTTCGTATTATAGTTGATAATTATGTTAGCAGGCAATTCGGACTGCTCACATAGTTACCCTTTTTGTATTTGAAATGCTTCCCCCTCAAAACGCAGTGACTTCGACGCTATGCAAACACTTTTTTGTATTATTTAAACTCGTCCGAAATTTTTACGATTACTCGTCTCAATGTTTGTAACAGAGAAACGCAAAGGAACTCCTCCGTCTATCTGGCAGCAACTGTTCTGTTTCGAACAATCGAAGCGCCCAGCAACTTGACTTGTGCAAGCGGGGTTTGCATCGTTGTCAAACCATGCTGTCACTGTTAAAAACATTGTTGTCAATTAACAACGAAAGTCATTCAGTTAAGTTTGTTAGCAACACATGTTGTTTTTTACAATACATGTTTTTGAAAAAAAAAAAAAAAAAAAAAACATTGATAAAAATCTCAGAAACGAAGTTTCTGACCCAAAATAGTCACTTTTGTCTGGAATAAAATCTTTTCAAGGTGTTGCTAACAAAATGACCCACACGTTTCCTGTACATTTACAGCAAAGTAGTGAAAAGTAGTTTCTGTTGTGGGTCAAATAGCACATGTTTCGCGAAGGGTCAAATGAAAACATTTGTTGTTAGTAGCAGCTGTATTGTTTCCAAAATCATTTTTGTACAAAACTGTTTTACACAGTGTGCGAAATCTAGTCGCACTTTCCATGCATGGAATTTCTTTCGAGACACAGGTGCCAGTCAGTAAAGAAATACCAATTTTCCGCTTCCCTACGTTCAAACTGCCCCCCCCCCCTCTACCGCTCCCGGAGGAGAATTGCACCATGAAATCGGTATCGATTGCGAGCCCCAGCTGATGGGTACCGAGCAGGAGCCGTGTTAGACACAGGCTGCTCTTGGAGTACGAGAGGAGGGTAGCGCCGGCGCGTAGTGCGCTATGAGTGACGATCGCGGGAGTTCAGTGAAGAACGGTGCCGTTTTGGCTCGGGAGCTGATCTACGATCGCGGGAGCTCAAACTTGTTCGGTTAACGATCGAACTGAAGTAGTCTCAGAGAGGTGCTCTCTGACTGGGTCCTTAAGATGGGCCACGTGAGGAGGCGGGAAAGAGGTGACCTTGACGATGTAGCTTCTTCGCGTTCTCTGTTCCAATATGAGAGCTGTTATGCGGCGATCTGGCAGGAGTCATGGTAAGGACTGGCGATGGCTTAGGTATTTGCCTTACTTAGTCCTCAAATTTCTCAGTTATTTTAAGTGGTTCTCATCCATAGAGATTTTGTGCGATTCCATTAGTTTCGAAATGCCTTCGTCGCTGGCTGCGAGCGCGGGAGTTCGATGAGCACGCAAGGTGTAGTCGAGCATCAATCGCAGGAGCCTGCCGAGCACTGACTAGCGACGATCGCGGGAGTCCGATACAGTTTCGGGCAACGATCGCGGGAGCTTGTCTCGAGTGTCTAGAGGGTATTTTGTAAATCTCACTAATCTTTTCCAAATGTTTCAAACGCTGTGTCATCGTTATCGTGATACGCTTAACGTTTGGAACACGCGGCGACCATAACAGTTAAGGAATTGTAAGAAGTAAAAAGGGAAAAAAATATCAATGCTAAATTTTGAAATCTATTATAATGACTAACTTTTCCTTCTTGGGTAATATTAAAAAAATAATTCCTGGCAGTATAACTAACTGAGAGTTCTGACTCGATATTCGTCGGTCAGCACTCTAATCTTTATCGCACACCTTTGTGCTGTAGCGGTGCGTGGAAAAGTGACGGGTGATGTGAAGCTCAAAATTTGTATTTCCTCTAACGGTGCCCGTTGAGCATCTGCGTATTCGCGTGTTTCAACGTCAGACAAAAGAGGCAGTGTCACTAATGAGCTTCACATATCGAAGCAGCAGTGCTGTTGCCTGTCACGCCATGCTCGCTTCACATGGAAATAAAAGCCATAAATCGTGCCTTCTCTAAGTTTGCTCTCGAAGACTGTTGCCCATTGCTATATGCTATGCATTGAAACCCGAAACCCCGTTACGTCTCGTTGAAGGGAAGGTGCTCTGCTAATGATTTAAACAAACTTTTTGTCTGTTTGGAAAAGTGTTATTTTCCTTTCCGTACGGGTAAACGTGTAGAGTTTCTGCATTCAAATTGCGTCAAACAAAAGAAAATTTAAATTTGTTTTTTTTTTTCACATTAGTATTTTTGAATGGCAATCTTCTAAGGCAAACTTAGGGGCACAGAAGATTTGCATGGATTGCGAATCAAAAAATATGTTTTGCAATACAAAACAAGATCAGGCTATGAGTTGCATTCGACGTATCGGTCTCTTAGTAAAATTGAAATAGTCGCCGTAAAAGGTGCAAATATTTCTTCTTTTTGAAATTATTAATAAACTTTAAGACTTATTGCTGGTTTCACCTTTTTAAATAAAAAATGATTGATAGAGCTTCTTATACTTACAAAATATGACCTTGGTGTGTTTTAAATCCTTTTTTAAATACGTGGCGCTAGCACGTTAACTGAAATTTCGCTGCTTTTCCTCTTTACTAAAGAGAATCGGTTTTCAGGATATTTACTTGTGCGAAGCTGATTGCTTTTTATGTTTTATAATTCACCAACGCTGCTTGGAAAAAAATTACACGCGGTGCTCTCGTGTTCCCTCGTCACACTATGTCTAAAAGCTCATGCTTTGAGATGTATTGAAACGGAGAGAACAGGTGCACCGGTGCTAACGCTGATGATTTCTAAGGGTTCATGGAGGTGCAATAGAGCGTTGCAATCGCTAGCACGGATCAAGCTGTACGAGTGTTGGTGTAATTGACTTTGAGGGGCTACCGCAAAAGATGAATTAAGAGAACGGCCCATTAGTATTCCCGAAACTTAATTGCGATTGGGGCTGGTCTACTCTCTGACTGTGGGACACCTTGGCGCCTGACGGTGGGGGCTTGTGTCTATTTTGACTTGGGGCGTAATATTCACTCTCTTCACTAGCAAAAGAGTTGAGGAGTTGTTGCTTCACACCACACTTTTGTCTGACCAGAAGCGCAACTCCTCAAAGTTTTATCGAAGTTCCTATCAAAGAGCCTCTTTCGCTGCCCTGACACCTCTGCTATTCTTGCTGAGGGTCGACCTCGGATTTACTGCCGAAGAGTCTCCTCTCTGGATTGACCTCAGGGGTCACCTTGTACCGTCTCCATCGCCATGACCTCGAGAGAGTGTTTGCGGTACAGTCTCCCGTGCGCTGCGGGTAGACATCGGGGGATTGAGTTCTCCGTATTGTCTCCCCCGCCCTACGGATGGACCTCAGCGGCTACAGACCCCCTGAAGAGTCTCCCCTGCCCTGGGGATAGACCTCGGGGGCTGCACTCCCCCGAAGAGTCTCCCTTTCCCTGTGGATTGACCTCGGGGGCTGCGCCCCCCCGAAGAGTCTCCCCAGCCCTGTAGACGGACCTGAAGGACTGAAAGGCCTCTCAGGAGTCTCCCCTACCCTGTGAGTAGACCTCAGGAAGTAGAAACCTCCCGAGGAGACTCCTATCTGGATTGACCTCGGGAAACGCCCCGAAGAGTCTCCTCCTGTGCCCTGTCGATATGCCACGGTGCAAGATAAGTCCCTGAAGAGTCTCCGTGATGGATTGACCTCAGGGACGGTAGGGTGTTTGAAGTTTTGGATTGACCTCGGGGGCTTCAAAGAAGCCCCCGAAGAGTCTCCATGTGGATTGACCTCAGAGGTTTATTGGACCTTTGAAGAGTCTCCCTTGGAAGTTGACATTAAGAGCCTTCAAGGCATTCTTGTCTTCTCCACTTGAACAGGGACTGGGCTTTAGGGCAAGTCGCTGCAGTTCGGTACAGTTCATCTGCGGCCATGGCTTAAAGCGACGAGTTGTCCGTCAGAAAGTGAGTCAGGTACAGCCTTGACGAATTTAAGCGTAGTTCTGAATTCGTAGAAGGGTATATACAACCAATAGTGTGACAATATCGTCCACAAGAAACCATCTGCATTTAGATCAGATATTGACAGAAGATTGTCAAGTGGCAAATATTTTAAGTTCCTCAATAACGAAAATTTTCGATATATCTCTGAGATCTTTGCGATTATTGAATACTTGAAATTTTTCTTGTAGGCCCGGCGTATGTATGTGCAAATTGCGTGCAATCCCATCCTCCTGTGAGCAGAGCTTGACTTCAGGAGACATTGTTTTCCCTTTTCTAGCCTATTTCCTACAGGCGATCCCCCCTCCCACCCCGCTTTCTCCTCTCCCTTTCCTATTGCATGTGACGTGTTACTCAAAATTTCCTTTTCCGATTGGCAAGTGCATATTCCATAGGCAGACTGCCTGTCTCCTCTTTTCTTCCCCGCGTATTTTCTTTCCCATTACTTCACACTATTTTCTCTCTGTTTATGAGGTCAAGCAATCGACAAACGTTTTACGAAACAGGAATGCAACAGTTACTATGAGAGCGAACTTCCGTTACAGATCGATAGTAAAGTTTACTGAGCATTAGTGCTTTTCTCAGCCAACACCCAACAGTTTTAGTGAACTGTGTACTTACACCCTATCAAAACCATGTGTGACCAGGTTTAAATTTTGGAGTTTCTTCGTTTTAAAAACATGAACACTATGTGTTCATGTACCGACTACTGTTGTTTTGACAGTTTCTTTGTATGTTTCATTCTTAAAAAATTATGACCTCAGTATATCCAAATTGAGCGTTCTATTTTAGTTCCTACACGCATGAATGAGTAGGGCTAAAAGTCTCGACATGGTATCCATATTTTTCATTTTTTTTAAATGGCATATCTTGAACTTAGAGACACGCTTAGAGACACGCAGTATTGCAAGACTCTCGACAATGGTATGTGCAACCCAGTTACTCAATATTTTTCATCTTTATTTTATATGCCTTATTTTACGACGAGTACTATCCTTATCTGTCTGGGGAAATAATTTTTCTCACAGAAATATTACCCATCTTACATTCTAATTGATTGTAGGAACCCTGGACGCACTGTAATGGGCATTTCCAAGACCACCAGGAAACTTTTAAAAGCCCGCTAAACTCTCGAAAATAAAAAGCTCACGTGTGATTGCCGTGCATGTCTCTATGATTGAGTAGATGTGTGTACCAAAGGAGGGACGCTCTGTTTAGTGTAATATCTGAAATGTGAGCCGCTTCGATCAACTCTGTAATAGTACTTGACTTTACATTTATTTTTATCAATACGAGAATTCCTAGCTTCTGTATTTTGTATTGTTGGCCTCCTTTACAGTAGACGAACCTTTGTTCCAGATTCTTACAATATTCTAACTGTTGTACTTGTCATGTCTACTTACAATTTAGATTAAATTTGTTTTAAACATGAACAACTTGTAAGGTTCTTGAAAACGTGAGATCATTTGTTGTCTTTTTTTGTTAAATCGTTTCATGTGTCTAACTATAGATAATATTAATTTCGTGTGTACGTAATTTTCATTTGAAAATTAGTGTGTGGATATTCTAAAAAAAACAAAAAACGTTTTTGTAAAGCTATCTTAAAATTTAAATTCAGTCAATGTATGTCATCCATCGTTTTCAATGCTTTCCTTCAGACTGCCTTGGTGTTATTTTCTATCTCCCCCTCTGTGCCTTTTTGTGTGTTTTGTATGTTACAACAAAACGAGTAGTTTGGACTCAAATTGCAGCGCTTTGCCACCAACAAGTTGTGCGGTGCATATCAAATAAGAGAGCCCGGACAGTATTTTCTCTAGGTGTAGACTGTGTACATTTCTTTGTAGGCGTGTAAATTTAGACATGTGCCCCGTCGAATCAACCGAAAAAATGTTTTTGTTAGATAAAATTGAAAAATTAAAATATAAACGTTAAGTTTTTCAGGCTGATACAAGTTGCTGTTGATTTCAACGGTGTACATGCATTGTAAATTCAGTGTGACTTCATTTCCAGAACTGTCCACTCTTGAGACCTGCAAATGGTTTTTAAAGATGTACCCCATGCCAGAGCCGTTGCGTTATCTTGTTGTCTTCGGGAAATATATAAATGTTGCTAAAACTTTAAGCCAATTTCAAACTCTTGCCTGTTATTGTACGTTCTGCGGATCTGAGTGTGACTTTTACTTGTGTACAGAATCCCAAATGGTTATAGTGGAACCTATGTTATATCGGATTAAAAATAAAGAGTAAATAGTAATTACCAAATGATTGTATTTCGGAGCATCATTGATTCTTTACCCACTCAAACTTTCTTCACAAACATCATGCACAAACCATATAACTTAAAGAATCGTCCTTACTGTATCAGGTTCTTCCAGAATCTGCCAGGTTCAGCCAATATAAGGTATCGGGGTCGTTGGCTGGGGCTTTTTGATGCCACCCGACATTCCACATCGCAGTAATTTTCATTAACTTACCCTATGAGATACGCAGACAATTGTCGCTAATAATTTTAATCTGGTTAAAACGTCATATAGACGTCTATTGTACGTCTACTGAACGTAAACCATAGGCACCCAGGCAGGAATACGCAAAACTCGGCGTATCAAAGCCAAATTATTTCAGCCAAATTATTTTCAAAATCGACGAACACATATTTTTTTGGAAAGGGGAAAGCGAGCCGAACTTTCAGATTTTTAGTCGACTTTTTGACATTTCTCTTCGACGCCTGGCTCTCGAGAACACGGCGAGACAGTGCCCTGACATCAGTGCCTGTATAATGCTGGAGTGAAAATGAAGATGCCCCGAAGTTGGCGTTAGGCAAGCGGCCCAGGAAAGCTGTTTTCAAACGACGATGCTTCGGACGACGTTTGAGCGTCATTAGGATATCGGACGACATAAGAGCGTCACTAGAAGATCGGACGACGTAAGCTGTTACTTCGGACCTATATTGGAGCCATAGCGACCCGATTTCGCCAATAGAATAATAAAGTAAAACTGAAAAGGCCCTGCAATGGGCGATAAGCTAGAACACCAAAAAACCTAAGTTTAAACGACTTAAAGTAGGTCCATTAAAGAATTTGTTAAAATCTCAAATTTTTCGAAAATTGGTTCTAACTCTTTTTCTATTGAAGCCACGGCGCCCTGATTTCGCCTGTAGAATAAGAAAAGTAAATGTTAACAGACCCTCCAATGGGCGGTTAGCTGGCGCACCCAGAAACCGGCATTTGAACGACTCATAGTTGGTCTGTGGGTAAATTTGTTAGCATTTTTAATTTCTCAAAAACTATTTACCCCGCAGCATCACAGCTAGGATAGGCAGTTCATATTCCTGACCCCCCCCTTCCTGTACGTCCCAAAACCCAGCCAGAAAAAATTGAAAAAATAAAATTTAAAAAAATTCAAACGCTAACGCGTTAACGGCCCCCTTAGATTTTAACGTGAACACTAGCATGAACACATATATAATACTACAACGATTCATTACATTGGTAGTTACTGATTTTGAAGTAGTTTTACTAGAGTAATCTACAGCCGAAATCTGGACGCTGTAGCTCCCATAGGTCCAGAGCTAGGGCCGATTTACGTTGAAATTTCTGTCACGGAGCGGCCGAATGGGGGCACTTCTGGCTCTCCGGGCCGGAGGCACGCGCGCCCTGCCGTTTGACGCCATGCCTCTTACATCGGTGTGTGATGGCGGGTCTGCTGTGGGGTCTGGCCCTGACCGCCCAGGGAGACGGACGCCGGTGGCAGCTCCCGAGAGCAGCTGCGCGCGAAGCGAATGTGAGGTTATGTGATTGTTTTGATTCGCCTGTACGATGATTGAACGTGTGAACACCGTTACTCTGAATTTTGAGAAATATGTGCCTGCTTTGGAAGAGATTTGTGCGTTTCTTCTGAACGACGTGAAGCTGGAATTGGGCGGAATCATCTGCGTGCAGGAAGAACTTGGAAGCCTTCGAGTTCACGTCAAGCTTCGGAGCAAGTTGAGGTTGGAAGATTTTCTACCCGCTGTTCCATCAAAGTCGTTTGTGTCAAGCGACGGCTCCGAGCAGAGGGTGACGCTGACGAAGAATGGTGCAAGAATCAACTACGTTCTGATTCGAAACCTGCCAATTGAAGTTCCTCCGGGAGATGTCGAGAAGAAACTGAGTGAGTACGGTACTGTGCTTCGTCACGACTGGGAACTTTTCACTGATGGACCTTTTAAAGGAATTGGGAACGGGAACCGGAAATTGCATATGCTCGTCAAGTCTCCGATCCCAAGCTACCTCAAAATCTGTGGCCAAGATGCGTTAATCCAGTACCATGGCCAGCCCAAGACCTGTCAGATTTGTGGGGGTACGACGCATCTGCGCGCCGCCTGCGCCGAGCGCCGCGGCAAGGTGTCGATCGCGGACGCAGCCCTCAGCCGGCCGAAGCCGAGTGACGTCATCGCTGCAAGCGCGCCAAACCCTGGCGACGCTCAACGGCCGCCAGCAGACGACGCGTCGAGCGGCAGCAGCACCCAACAACAACATGGCGGCACGGCAGCACGGCAGGCAGCGGGGGGGAGAGGAGAAGACAAGCGGACGACGAGGAAAGAGACAAGAAATAAAGATCAAGAGCAGAAGAGAGAGGGTTCGACGGGACGGTTTTCCGCGACGGAAGAGAGAAAGACGAAAGCGAGAGAGAAAGAAAAGAAGAGCAATGAAATTAACTGAATCTTATGTAAATGAAATTACTTTGAATTTTTTTTTAAAATGAGTGTCTGTAAAAGAAGAAAATGAACTGTATATTTTGAATAATGAACAACTGAATTGTGTACCATGTTGGCACGAAAGAGACAGAGTGTTAAAAAGGACATTGCCGTGCGAGCAGTGCGCGGCATGGGGTTGCACCGCAAGTGACTCTGGTGCAGGGAGTATCGCCATGCGATGTGAGAGAAGGAGAGGGACAGGTTTTTTTAAGTTTTTGAACGTTTAGACTCGAGCTAAATAATTTTGATTTTTTACCTGTCTGTATTACAAAAGAATTTAATAAAG